AAAGCGCTATACAAATGCAGGCCATTTGTATAGCGTCTGTGTCATTATGAGATTTCCTCAATTGACAATATTATTTTTGTATTAGTTTCTAATCATTTCTAAGCTAAGCTTCGGTTATAACCAAAAAAATTTTGACTTTTAATACTTTTTTAATGTTTCTGTGGCTTCAGGGTTATTGTTGTTACAGTCAGAACCAGTTTGTTTCAGAAAAATAAGAATATATTATATAAAACATAAAACATATATGGAGTGCTGTAGAGATGTGGAAATTTCTATGGGGTAAATGAGTGAGGATGGATTCAGTTATAGAGGAGTAAAAGTACACCACTTCTGACGTATGCAGGTTGAATTTCTCCAGTAGCTACAGGACATGGATCCTCTGATGTGTGGGTTTTTTTGTTGTTGTTTTTTGGACAGACATTTAGCTTCCACTTGGGAGAAAGACTCGTCAATGTCCACTGGGCAGGCAGGATGATGGGGCTGGGTTCCTCCTGAAGTCCAAAATCATCTCCACTGTTTTGACAGCAGCATCCAGGCTGTTGCCTCCCCACCGTGTTGCCAAATTGGCAATTTCAGCCCAAAGGATAAACATCTGAGATGAGCTCAATGAGAATTCATATTAAAGTTTGACAATGGTGACTGAACACATTTTTCCTGATCAACTGATCATTCAAGATCTTTTATTTGTCACGTGGATACTAGTACACAAGTACAACACTCAGTAAAATGTGTCCTGATACGCTCCTCGACTGTGCAAAAATAGAGAGAAAAAACATTATATACAGTAAGTAAGTAAATATATACAAAGAGGCCATTATGGGCAGTAAGTGAGTGAATTATATACATTAAGTACATTAAATAAAATAAAACAATCTGTTCAAAATTTGGGAATGTACATTGTGTAAGTGGGGTCAAAACTAATCTGGGATTCCCTTAACTATCATAACTTCCATAGTATATTAGCAGTTCCATTTAATATCATTTAACTTTACTGTTGATCGTTTTTGCAACAGAGAGAGAGAGAGAGAAAATTACAAAGACTAGTCAGGAAAAGAAAAGAGTAGAAAATTATGCCATGAATTGTAATGTTACACCAAAGAGCACATCCTTCTCCTGTGAGCATCATTTTAAGTATATGAACAGATTCCTTTTTGCTTCAGGTATCAGAGAGACAGATCTGTGACCTGTAATGTCATCTCAGTGAGTCTATCTGATGATAAAGACAAAACAAACAAAAAAACAATTAGTCCCATGAGTAAGACCCACACTATGCAAATATTGCTTCAGTGACACTATTGTTGAGTGTTTGTCCTCACAAGCATCAGAGAGAGGAGACCAGAAAGCATTTTCACTCGTGAGGTTTGGTGTTTGGTTTCTAAGGGGTTGCATTATTAACAGGATGATGCATCATTAAAGAGCTCCCGCGGTAAGCATTTCAATGATTATGAGGCTCACTATTACACAGTACAGGTCATGTGGATCACAATGACTTAGATATAATAAATATAGCATTGGTTTGTTACTATTGGTGTTTTTTTGAATCATTGGCTCTGTAGTGGTATTTCATATGGTACAAATGTCTCAAATGTTCAAGGTGAGGTGACCTTTAGACATCTAGAAATTTTTTAATTAAACTGCTACTTGTCCTGGCAGACGTCCACCAGATTTTGCCCAACATCAATAGATTTCTGGTTGTCGGGGCCTGGGGCTCGCTCGGGCCACTTCGGGGGTGGGGTGCCCTCGGCCTCTCGGCCTGGGGCTCCGTCACTC